TTGTAGCATAACATAGAACAGATTGTGTTTGGATTTCACTAGATATTTGTTGTTTTACGTTTCTTTGCTTTATGTTGGAGAAGGGCCTGCAACAAAACTTTGATCCAAGGTACAAATCCACAGCCAAGATTTGAACTAAGCCTACAAAACTTTCTCCAGAACGGGCCGTAGCCCAGCACGCTGACTTTGGGAGCGTCTTGTTCTTCACGTTGCTGATCATTTGATTCAGGCCTGTTTCTGCTTATTTATTTGACCATCAGCCTGCAAATGAACTTGGAGGCTCCAGGTTTGAGTCCATAATTTTTTGAGAACAACCCAGAGTAATTCCATCCACAGCACAACGAAGTTGCATCAGTGCAATGCTGCAATTGCCAGGGCAGTCAACAAGACCAGAACGTGCCTACAGAGATGCTAGCAGCTCGGAGGGGGGAGGAGAAGCGGAAGGAGAGAGAGAGGTCATAAAGTTAAGTTGGGCATAATTTCTGATATTAAACTCTAAATTATCCAAATCCTCTGGTTCAACCAGTCTGCCAACAACCAGAGAGCGGCAGAGCAGCTGAAGTGCGAAAAGCGGCTTTAATCTTCCTGTGCGATGCCATTGATTTTGCAGGGCTGTTGACGATCTCAGTTTCAGATGGCTGTTTGCACCAGATTCCTGGGAACTTAGCCCAGAACGCACCCCAATAAAACAAGAATCCTTCATTTTCAGGAGAACAAACACAGAATCCAGTTTAGCTACAACTCCTATCTTTAAAAAACACATTACGTTTTTCTGTTTAGGAACTGGCGTGCAAGGAAGAGAGCTGGACGCGCTGCTGCCCAGAGCAACGGTCACGTCGTAAAGAGCCCGCGCCCCGAGCTGCCCAGGATCTGCACACGGACCCAGCGCTGCCAAAGCCAAAGAGATCAAAGTTCAGCCCAGTTCATCAGCCCCGGGAAGGGACGATGTACAGAAGGACCCAAAGTCTTTAATGCACTGATGACAAAGTGAAATAACTACAAAAGGGAACCTCCTGCGTCTGACTGCAGCGAGAGATGTGACTAACTGTGCTTTCATAAACGCTGAGTCAAGACAACGTGCCGTAACTACAAGAAACGACAAGTTTTATCTGTGCGTAGGGAGGGCATGACTTGTGGAACACTCTGGATTGCACAAAATTTAGTGGAAAAAAAGGTTTATGATTGTTTGCGATTTCAGTACGACTTCTGTTGTAGCGTAAATGACATTGTTGTATAATTAATTACCATAGCAATTAAGATAATTCATATTGTCGCTTAACTTTGCTCTCTCACGCTATTTTCTGCAAGGCCATCAACCCTCGCGGTGCCAGGGCTGCTGAAATTACAAACAGCAGTGGGTGTCAACCACAGAGGGGGCGGGGGGGGAAAAGCGCTGAACACATTGCAACATACTGCATTTGGCACAAGATAAAGATAGAGGTGCCAAGGTTTAGCCCATTTCTTGTCACAGACTATAAAGTCAGAAATAAACAGGTGCAATCTCTTAACCAGAGATAAATCCACTACGGATGAAGTCTTAGTGTCTCTCTTCATGTGTAAGAACGTTTTATAGACAAAACCAGCTCAGATTAGAGTCGAGAAGCAAATATAAGCAGTCCAAACAGTATACAGGCATAAAAGCATGGCAATAAGGAAGAGTAGAAACATGTAAAAGAAAACCAATGAAAGACCCACTCCAGCTGGAAGATGGAGGTGGAATGAAACTTTTTTAATGCACCTGTTTTATTTGATTGGGAGGTAGGTTTTGGCTTGTTTTCTCGAGACAAAACCAGTTTTCTTTAGAGGTAATCAAGTGGGGGGGGAAGGAAGATGGTCTCTCTCCTATGTTGTATCAAACAGGAGTTTCCAGACCACCAGCCGAGTGGTAACTTGTGACCCAGCAATGTCCACCACCACCACCTTACAACTGCGAGTAGGTGCTGCGGTGGCCCTGCCGAGCAGCTCATCCATTCCCTTTGCGCTGATGCCCTCTACTCTGTTTCGCAGTATTACCGTTACCAGCCATCTGAGAGTAGCAGAAGAACGTCAAAGCAGAACTGTCAAAAAAAACTGAGAAGTTACTGAACTCCAAAAAGTATCCTACATAAGCACAAAAAAAAAAAAATTGTAGGGCTTTTTTCTTTTTTTAATGAGCTCAGAGGCACTAAGCTGTACCTTCCAAATCAAAAGCCACGTTTTGTACCTATGTTTGTGCAACTCTTTCCGACAATTAATGGGAAGCGTGCGGCACGCTCAGAATGCCATCTACTGGCACAACCGGCCGTGGAGGGGAGGCACGAAGAAGTAGTAAGTGGTAGCAATCTTTCCATCTAAGAAAGCCAAGATCTCAGATACAACCCCCCCCCACTACAGGAAGTAAAACTACCTGTTTACTCCAAGGAGGGAGCGCTGCTGACGCACCTTGAGGAACAGCTATCTAATCAGTTAGCAATTAAATAATGCACAGATGAGGTTACGGTGTCGCAGGTCTGGGGAGGGAGAGGGGGAATGCTTCCTGCGGTGGCTCTGAGTCAGCAGTCCCTGTTAAGGACAGAGCAAGGGAATGACACTTCAGCTTGCTGAGAAAGAACAGCCTGCTGCCTGGCTTCTTACAAGAACAAGACTGCGGACAAGATTTAAACATTGCTGGCTTAATATTAGGAAGAGAGGTGTGTTTTCCGAGCCACCTAAGTTTAGTCTTTTAAAGTTCCAAATTCCAGGTGACACAGCTACGAAACCACGTTGAGCTGAAAACACAGACGAGAGACTTTTCTGCTTATTTGAATTATGCAAATTGTCTTTTAAAAGTATTTTATAGTAGGCGCTTACCTGTGACAGTGGGAGACCATCACATTTACATTTTTCCACATTAGGCAAAGAACAGAAGCCACCAAGATAAGAAAGATTTAGCACTTGCTCTAAACAAACAAACAAAGCTACTCCTTGAACAAAAGACAGTGCTACAGTAATACCACATCCCTTTGTTTCTGCCTTTATGCCTGTGTAGGTACACAGGGACCCTGCATTTTGACCATGAACGGATGAAGAGGTGCTTTTTTTTTTTTTTCTTCTTGAAAGAGAGGGTGCTAACGAGCACTAATTTTATGGTGTGGGGGCGAATTTTGCAGATAACAATAGATAAGCAAAGATTTTGTCAGTATTTGATTAACAAATCAGGAATATGAATACTTTTAGCTTTTATGAACTTCAGTTCCACTTAACCAGGCCTCATATTAGAACAATCGAGGGTACCCTAAGACTAGAGGCTACAACTTGCTGTAGATCAAACTGAAAAAAGAGCAAGTGAAGTGCAACTGATTCAGAGGACTTTTTGCCCTTTATTACTTCCTGGACAAGCACGGCTGATGCCCCACCATCAAAACAAATTGCGACAAAACATGAGAAAACACTGTTCTGGTCCGCAAGATACAACCTTCAACAGGAAAACAAATGAAGCTATCAAGAGTCACATTTTGCAGGCAAATAATTAAAGTGAACACTTTGAAGAACAGAGTCATCAGAAAGTGATTTGTCAACCACTTACAGCTTTAATATAAAAATGTTTAGTCCAGTCATAAGCTTAATTGTTCAAATGAAAATGAGTAGTGGAACCAAAATCTTGAACAAGATGATTTGATTTGTTTCACCATCAAGCTTGTTGGGTGACAGATACCGTTACCTTACTCCAGAGTTCCCACGTCCACACCTATCGTTGCCTAACCGGCTATCTGGTTATTGCCTAGATACCTTCAGGTATCTGTCCTTCCTGAGGCAGATCTTCCTGTAACGTTACAGCAGCTGCATCTCAGGGGAATTTAGTTGATTTTTTTGCTAATAATATATACTGTATACACAAGTATATCTATATATATAGTCTATAAGGATTTAGTGGGGACAATGACCGAAATATCTTCTCAGTCTTGTGGGAGAGTCCACACCACTCTGTTGACAGTCCTGGAGAACCTTGTGCACAGTGTATTACATCACGTTTGCAGACATATATTTAGTTTTTGATGGTTTAAGCTTAGCATCTGTCAGGAGTACTAAATTCAAACCAAAACATTCTAAAAATTGTTTAAAGAAAATACTGATAATCATCAATTTTTTCTGAAAAAAAAAATCAAAATAACTATGTACACCCATGCCAATCTTAGCTTCTCAGAAAAAAATGAAATGGCATGTAAAAAAAAAATAATACCTTTAAGTATAACATTCTGAACTGTATCCATTCTGCCAGGAAATTATAATAATAGTTGTTTACAAATGGAAAAGACTGAGAAAGCAAGCATCCCCTTAGGGCAAATAAAGCTAAACACTTCTAGCAAACTATAGCAAAAAAGGGAAATATTTGCCCTAAGTTAACACAAAGGCAAGCTGGATGAAAGATGGCAACTGTATTTTTATCAGCCTCTCCATAAACCACAATCAATTTTCAGGAAGAGGTTGGAGTACATTACTATTATATCTGGAAAAAAAAGAATAAAAACCCAATCTTCCTAACAAATTTCATCACCTCCAAAATTGTTTTGGTCTTTTTTTTTTTTTTTAAATAATTAATCCAAGGTGTTATGCCTATATATTACAGTTTTGAACTCGCTTTATGAATAGAAATTAAAAAAAAAAAATCAAGTATTAGTCAACTGGCATAGGGTTTCCATGCCCTAGGGGAGTCACAGGGTTGAAACTCTTCAGTCTGCATTTCAACTAACTTGAACTAGCAATCATCGTGCTTCCACAGAGATGTTCCCATAGACATTTACTTCTGCGATCTCTTGTTCTCAGTTAACTTAGTCTTTAACAAACCCTATTTTTGTTTCCAAACCCTTCACTTGAAGTTGTTCTGTCAGATTAACTGGTTTGAAACCATGCAAAAAGAGCAAATAGTATTTTTTGACTTCAGATTGTTTTAACTCATATTCCGTAAATTTTTATAAGTTAACAGAGCTTTGAATGAGTTAAGGCACCCACATGCCCAGAAAAAAAAAATAAATACCGTGGGCTAAATACAACTAAGTGTTCAGCAGTCATTTAATTGCACAATCGTCTCCCTAATTTGTAGCATAACGCTGCCAATGTCTTTAGAGATCCTAAAATACGAATATTAGAAACTTGCGAATGTAACAGACAAGGCATTGACAAGACATTCTCAAGGTTCATTCTGTATTCCTGGCTCCTCAAGGTAACTGCTACTCCTAATGTAATTAGCATTTAGCAGCAAGATCAGCATGTTCTAAGAATGAAATAAATATTCACACAATCAATACTAATGGTTCAAATGCTCAAACACATTATTGAAAACAGTAAATTTCCAATCTTTCTCCTGTCAATCCAAGATTGCAGAAACAAGACCCTTGGCAACAAGATTCACAGCTCTCAGTACCACAGAAGCTTCTGCAAACAAATCCTAGGTCTGAAGTTTTGTCATCTGTGGTGCTTGTGAGGTGTTCTACTGTGTTCGAAGCTGGTAGTCTGTAAAGGGGAAAAAACAAAACAAAACACAGTTTTAGTAAATTGTCCCACTAAAAGTAGTAAAGCGGATCAGCAAACTCGGATGAAGCGATACAAAATAAAACCAGATCTTTGGTTAGAATGGCCATGATAATGAGCTCTAAAGTGATTAAGGTAGTTGCAGGTAGTCATGCTTCCATGCCAGAAGAAGTTAGATTAGAAAAAACAACAAAAAGCAAAACCCCAAAAAAACCCTACCGCTTTTACTTGCTAACAATCTAGTATCTTTTAGTAGATGGTGTCTTATACATCTTAAAGCTGGCAGAATGATGTGTGAGCAATTTCTTTTTAAGTTTACATTCCAAAAATCTCACCGAATCCAGCTTAATTACAAAATACTTGAACACTACTGAACTATCCCATCGGGTCTTCGATTAAGACACCAAAAAAGCTGACTGGAAAAAGCAGCATACCTTAATCTAACATGTATCTAAATCATTAGTTTAACACTCAAGAATATGAGCAAACTAGTTTTCTGTGTTTCAATTTGTAGGTGTATGCTGGAGAAACAAAACATGCAAGTTGGAGATGTCTACAGTCTATTGCCTTCCATTTACCTCCATTCTGGGTGATATAACGAACCCACGGGAGAGCCTGATAGCCACTCTTCTCAATTATCTTTAAGTAGCGAACCTGGAAAGAAAGGCACGTTAAGAAATAAGGCCTCCCATGTCAGCCAAGCGGCATGTAGTTAAAAAGAAAAAAAAAAAAAATTTAGTCAAAAATACGCTTTATGGATAACACTAAACAGGAACCATCAAGAAGATGAGAAAAACTTGTGTGTGAAGAGCCTAGCATGTTAACTTATCAGTATTTCTATTTTCAACTACTGACCTGGATTCCTGAAGTGGTGAAATATGGAATCTCAAACTTTACACTAATGGGAGGTTTTCCTTCCTTATCTTCAGCTTCAACACTTGGAAGTCCAAAGTGAGCTCTCATCAGGTATTCTTTTCCACCCTATCCAAAAGGGACAGATTTTTTTTTTTCTTGAAACAAAAAAAATAAAAAAACTTGCAACAATACAAGTGGTTTTCTTAATGTGAAATTTCAGCTCTTCTCTAGGGCTTAAAAGCGAGCACTTGTCTTTACTCTGAAAATACTTTTTTTTTCCAAAGATGCAGATCAAATTGGGACCAGCCTGAGGCATAATTCATTTTCTCCCAGCCTCACACGGAAGACAAGGGTGCTGCTGACCATTCTGGTTAAGGGGTGACAGACAGCTGAACTGCTGCACCATTATCATCTGAAAGAGCTCACACTCACAGAACCACCCAAGAAGCAGAGTCTGACAAACTAAAACAGCTGCTGCTAAATCTAGGCCAAGGGATTACACCATCCACAGATATTGCTCAAAAATCTGCTCTCTAACCTAGTTCTGAAAAATTATCTCAGTTAAACAAATATAAACAAAAGTATCTTAAACATTTATTAGCAAGTTCCAATCCTTCATCCAAGGGAAAAGAGGAAGAAGGCAGTACTACTTGTCTGATACTATTAGAATTTGCTTTAGGCAGAGCCTGAACATTCATAAAATATTAACGTTAAGTAACTATTACCCTATTAGGTGATAAGACTGAAAATAACACTTACTGGAAAAGATTTAATGGACCAGACAATTTCACTGTTCTCTGGAACCCATTTGACACTTCCAACAGTGGTTTTAAACTTTGGCGAGTCTGCATCGTTTGGAACTGGAATGTGAATCTCCACATTGTTGGCAGTCGATCTACGCTTAAACTGACTTTTTGCCTAAAGAAGAAAAAAAAAAAAAATCAGAAAAGCAGGTCTCTAAATATTTCCATTATGCGAGTGGGTTCAGAGAGCTGTGAGACATACAACTCCCCTCCACCTCAATCTATGTACTGAGAAACAGAACTGTAACACAGAGATCGTAACTTACAAATGAAGCTTTCAAAAAGATACAAGTCCCACAGAAATACAAAATACTTGTACAAAAATGCACATACTGCTGCTCATGCTTTGAAAACAAGTTAAAGAGAAGACTAAAATTAGCCAATTTTAGAACTTCTGACCTTGATCATGTACTCGATGCGGCTGTGGGAATGTTTTTCAATCACAGACTCAATCCAGATCAGTGGTTTCACCTAATGGAGAAAAACACTTAACAGCTGTAGGTTTTACTTTGACACAGTCATTAGAATGTTGCTTACCCATAAAGCTATACTCAACACACAAACGCCACAGAAAACAGAAAGTCTGTGGTGTTCAAAATGACAAACAAGTTGTGTTTTTATTTTAAAAAATTATACAAATGAGCAAGTATTGATATACCAACAACCAAGGGTTACATGAATTACAGGCTCAAAAAGGTATGTCTCTCATTAATCTCGAAGAAGAAACACTTGCATTTCAAAATATTTGATCATTTAATATACTAGGGACTGAACTATGACAAGCCCTAAAACCAACTCTAATTCAAACTACTGCCCTTAAAACAAAAAATTAATACTGAACTTTTCATTTGTTGTCTCCTGTCACAGCTGCATATTATAGACCTCTACAGTGAATTTCTCCTTTTCTGAAAGGAAAGCTATCCTTACCACTGTGGCTAGCATACTCTAACAAAATTAAACTACATAAATGCCGTTGTCGTCAAGCACAATGAATTGCTATGCTGACATTTCATCATGTAGTTAGCTTAAAAAAATAAAGTTATCACAAAAACAGTATTTCAGAAACAGTTTCAATAGTAGTTGAAAATATAGGGACTTATTGCCAAGTTACTTCTAAACTCATTCTTCCTCCAAAATGAGCGAGCTCAAAGGCTTGCTATTAACAGTTGACTTGAAAACTACTATGCCCGCCATACTTCAGGGAAAAAAAAAAAAAGTTACGGGAAAGCCATTAGCAATTCTGCCTACAATCTAAAACATTATCATATAAAAAATGCAAACATCCAAACTCACATGGGTATTAAGACGATATGACATGAGTTCAAACTCTCCATCAGGTGGAATGAAAGAAATTGTCCTGTCGTTTTCAAAGCGAGAGAGACGAACACACTGGTGAAACTTTACATCTTCCAGTTCTACCGATTTACTTTTGCCACCTAGCAGAAAAGACACATTTCAAGGTGCTACACAAATTATGTCCAAAGTCTCATCACAGCCAGTTACGCAGCAAAGCAGTTGTCTGCTAACATTCCTCCCTTTTAGCCAATAATTTCTTTAGCTTGCTATAGGTTTTCAGGACTACAGAAGTCCCAAGGAATAAAGAGATGAGGAAGCCTAGATGGTTACCATGTAGCACCATGGCATTCCATCCTTGCTTGGTTCTCTCACACAAGACCTAACATGGTTTTCTACACTGATAAAAAAAGTATTTCTATCATCTTAGAACAAATCCTTTCAGGTGAACCTCAAGCATCCCAAAACTTAAGGCTTCAGATAACATCTTTCATGATTATTGATCACCAGAATACTCACGGCCTGTATTATCAAAGAGAACTTTGTCATTTAAACCAAGGCGCAGCTCTGGCATTCCCGAGAGAAAGACTCGCATTTTAATGGATCCAACTATCTCACTCCGTAATACGTTTCCGTTGGCACTGACCTGAACAAAAATGGAAAGAACGCACGCTCTGATGTGGTATGTTGCGACATTAAACAACACTCCCACCCAATCCTCACGTCCCAAGTTTTCTTGGATGTCTTTCTCTTGAGAAATTAATCCAGTAGAGTAGAATTAGATCAGGGAGGTGATGGGGACAGACAGAGGAGGAAAGGACGTATCAGAAATCAGCAATACATCCAAGTAAAGCATTATTTGTCTACTGGATCTCCTTACGGGTACTCAGTCTTAATGACTGACATTGATTTGAGCATCACAGTACACTAGCCACCGTCAGTCTGCTTTTTATCGTACCCTTCCAGGTTTTCAGGCAATAAGCCCTTTTCAACACTTCCTATTACAATTCTCATTAAAAGTTAAAGGTACCCACCAAAAGGTTAACAGACTCTATAACATCCAGGAACACTTCATTTTTCCTGTATTTTATCCCTTCTGATCTCCATGAAACAGCATTCGTAACAGTGGCAGGTGGACGTGGAGCTCCAGTTTCAAGTTTGTGACCTTCCTGAGTGATGTATCTTTACAGCCACATAATTAGCATGAAAAAAAAAGAAAATTAATTTTTTAACAACCAGACCAAGCCAAAACATTTGTTTGAGTATGGAAGAATGCTCAAAACTTTTCAAGGAGTTTGTCACTGTAAGTGATAAAGAATGATACTTACTCTTGTAAAATTTTACTATCAGTGGTTTGCGGATAACCAAAATCCATAAGCTCATCTAACAACTCATAAATAATAACAAAATTATCCCTAATGCTCTCTTCTTCCAACTCCTTGAAATATTCAGAAAAAACCTGAAACAAAATGACAGGAGGGAAGGGAAGGAGGAGGACGTTAACTGAGGAAATACAGCACATTCAGAATGTATTTTTGCATCTAACATCATGATTTTTAAAAAGCCCCAAACCAAACCCCATAATTCACAAACAGCATTCTGTTCAGAAGGTTAGCCTTAGGAAACCCACCTCAATTAAAAGAGAGCTAGAGAATCCTAGAAGGAACTCTAACTATTATGAAAAATATTCATTCTGGAGAAAATATTTTTCATGCCAGGTACAGATGAACCAAACACAGAATCTATGTGATATGCCACTACTCATGCACCAAGTTCACAATTCTCCTCTGCGCTCTCAGGTCTTGTGCAATTACTTACAGCATTGTGTCACATCCTTTGCCTACTCAGCTACAAAATATCAATTCCATTACTAGTGGTTAGGAAGATAGTTCTACAAAATAATCAAATATAAAGTAAAAATGCTATTACCATAGAGTTCTTTAAAAATGCGAAAGCTTTATGCACTTCTAGTTAGATCAGATTTAGATTGAACTGAAAAGAAGAGGACGGTTACCTTTGAGATTTCATACTCACCTGAACTACTTTATATAAAAATGAAAACACCAGTGATACACAAGCATTTTTCTTAGAAGTTGCAACAACTGACACAGGATGTTGAGGAACACGCGTTCAAAGTCACCATTCAAAAAAATGTTTACTAAGTGCATTTTTAAAAGCCTTTAGGCAATTAGAGTTGGCCAAAAAAACTAAGAGTTAATTAATTAAGAGTACCTCTGGTCTAATAAGATATGAAGATAAACATTCAGGAAATAATTTATTAGAGTAAAATTAATATAAACACTTTTCTGCACCTGATGCTGTTGGTGCACGTTACACTATGTAAAGCATAAAACTACTTTATTTAATGAGCCTCCTTATGTCACTTCACCATTCTCTAGCTTTGCATTTAGACACAAACAACAAAAATAATATAGCAGCGTTTGCCATATCAGCATATGCGAGCTATGTGCAGTATAAAGGATACGATACAGGTTGTTATGTTTAATCCACATAAAACGAACTCCTCCATGTGCTAGAATAGGAGAAAGCGTCCCCTCTTCTTCCTTTTCCATAAGGATTGGCATAAAATGCTCCACCTCTGACATGTCCACATCTCCACGGTAATTCCGACAGATGAGAACCTATAAAGAGAGCAACAAAAGCCTTGCATTTTTTCTTTCATGAGATGATGTTACCATGCAAGACCAACGCACAAGATATTTGGAAGGCCTCTTTAACTTAAAAAAAGTCACCAACCTTCACTCTAGCCCCTATGCATACTATAAGTGCAAATCACAATACCAGAATACTTTGCTGACTACAATGAAAGATTAGGATTTGCATTCTAAAGTCATGTATTAATATTCTCCAGAGTTATTCTTCACTTACTGCTGCGCACACACCCTAATAACGCTTTTAAGATGGGAAAACACGTAATTCCTCTGAGACAAACTACCCCTAATTACAGCAGAGATTAATTACCCCAGGAGGGATGCCCGGAGGGCCCTGCTGGCAGGTCTGCTATCAGCAGCCAGCTCCCCCGGCACGTCTAACGGTGGAGATACAGGCCGCGACTCCCCTGTCACAGCTCGGACCTGCAGTGCCACGTAAAACTGGGGTTGGCAGCAATGAGGTGCCAGGAAGGGGAAAGCGGCTCCCGCACACCCCAAGGCGGCCGGGGGACCCTCACCATCCCCGGCCCCTCACAGACC